CTCCCCCTCACCCCCCACTTCCCGCTCTCCCACCTTAGAGATCAGGAAGAGAGCTAATAAAGTGCAGCTACTTTACTTTCCAAGTGTCAGTTTCCTCTTCTGTAATAAAGAGATGCAATGGAAGCCTGCTTATCCAATAGGGAGAGGACCATTTCTGGAAATTAATAGAAAAATTTGAGGAATCATTAAATAATTTAAACTATATGCCCATGGCTATATAAAGATTTAATCTAAGAAATAACTATTTGTGGAACATGTCTTCATTTTTTGGAAAACTGCTACCAGGAATATCATGTATTATATTTGTATTGTCCCTATAATTCATTTTTCCCAGTATTTAGAGACAAGAAAATTCATCTGTGATAATGTAAAGTAATAGAAATAATAATGATGATAACCAATACCTATAAAAATTACTGTGTCCTCACTGCTTTAAGTATTTCATATATTTTTTAGTTTCTTTAACCTTCACAAGATCTGTATGAGGTAGCTAAAGTAGATATTATATCTCCCATTTTATCAAGGGGTAAACTGAGGCACTTAAGAGGTTACATGACTTTTCTAAGATCACATAGCTTCTTAAATTAATCAAAGTGTGCAGCTATTTCTTTTGTTGCTTTGAGTACCAGGAAGCCTAAAGCTAAATTTATGTTTTTTTGTACAGCACTGGTCTAAATGTTTTTTAAATGTAATTATTGCCCTTAGTATCCCCTTTAATGAATTGATTTTGGTTTCTCTTAGTCTTCAAGAGTTTTTATCGTTTGTTTTATTGTATCACTATTTGGTAAATAGCAAATTTCTTTTTGGGGAGTAGATAGTCTATAAAAGTTTGATCAAATAAAAAGTTGATATATAACCCAAGAAAAACTAATAATCTATTATCGTTCATTATTAAATTAGCAAAGAATGCGTTCATCAACCTCCTGGAACATGTACGCATGGAAGAAAATGATTAATATAAGAAAGGTCTGGATCATGGCCTGAGCCGTAGAGGGAGCATGAAGGTCTTTGGTGCCTGTGTCTGAGAGATAGAAGGGGTGGCAGGGAGAAAGGTGATGTCTCGCTACTCAAGACAAACTTTGCCCACCTACTCTTGGTTTGGAGTTATCTTTCACCTCTAGGATGAAAGCTGTGGTTGGCCTTCATACCCCTTTCCTACAAAGCCCTGTGCCTACTATATCTGTTCATGTCTTCAGGAATGGAGCTCTCTTCTTCATTATGTTTCAGCCTATATTTAATTCATCTCTACATTTAAATTGTAAGCACACAGAGGAGTGTTAGTGGTTACCTAAAAACAAAACAGAACCAAGTCCCTTTTCTTCCTCCTCTTCCTCCTCTATAAGAATGCCTTCAAAATTTCCACATTGAAAAGGCCCTGCAAATTTACCTAAGATAATGTCTTTCAGTGCCAGCTTTAGGATAACCCAACCAGCAACCTCTTTATATAAGGGAGGAAACAGCTTCTTTAAACATTTAATAGAATAGTAAAATTTAAGAAAAACTCCATAAATATACATTTGAATGCTTTAAATGCTTTTATCATTTTGGAAAAACAACACTGATTTATTTACAAAAATTCATTTTTAAACGCCAGATATGGACTTTAGTATGAGATTTTTTTTTTTTTGTCTCTGAGTGATGGAACAGCTGTAATACTACCACTTTACTCTCAACAACGAATTCAGAGAAGTCAGGAAAACTGCAGGATAATCGGTATTGATAGAAGATGATTGGTCATGCAATCAACAAAGGCATTCATTCTGTCTCTATCTTCGGAAGATATCATTGACCAATTTTGATAACCTAGTTTGTAGATTACAGTAACTGCTATTTTTTTGAGAATTATTTTTGAATTCTTATCAGTTTATAATATAGAAATAACTTTTTAGAAAAGCAAAACTCTCATTGCTGTGGAAGCAGAATTTGACATTAGTCAAGTTGGTGTTTATGAACCCTGGTTGATTTATGAAGTCATCCATTACTTTGTCTACCCTTTGATCAAAAAGCAGTGTACATATTTTTCCAGATCACTTGAAAACAGAGAGCCTACAATGCCATTCAACAATGACATTCATTATCACAAATTGATTGTATTTTAGCGTAGCTTTAGAAATATAAAGATGTTTGTGTGCCATTTTTCCTTTATAGCATAGCTCAAAATCCATCTTTTCAACCGTGCATTAAATGTCAGTATCAATATCCATAGACTCAGAATGTAAAGTAGGAAAACACAACATCAGTGAGGGGGACTGGGGAATCATTGTGAAGATAGCCGCAAGTAGTTGTCTGTTAAATAACAGGTTACTAAGTAAGAAGTCTCTCATAACAGAGAGGTTAATTTCATTCAAAAAATTACTTAACAAAAATATACATTCCTCTAGGAAATCTTGATTCGGTAAACATAGAGTCGCATTATATTTTTAGATAAACTTGCTGGGTGATTTTTATTTCTATCGAATTTTGAATACCATTGTTCTAGAAAGTAATAGTTCATACTCGGTGTTCTTAAGCTTTAGCAATTACCATAGAGCGCAGATCTACATGGATATAACTAACGTGTCAATTACAGTTTTTGTTTTCTTGTTTTTGACCCAATTTTTTTTTTTTTGAGGCAATCCTTAGTTGACATCACAGATTGCAAGGACTTTGTCAGCTTACAATCCCTTATTTTTTATATTTTACACCTACAGCACCTGGTCTTCCCTAAGTGGTCTCCCATCCATGTACTAACCAGGCCCGACCCTGCTTAACTTCCGAGATCAGACAGGATCAGGCTTGTTCAGGGTGGCATGGTCATAGTGTTTTTTTGTTTGTTTGTTTTGGAACATAAGAATTGGTTCTTAAGTGTGGAATGGCTTATCAAAAAGCTACTTCCAAACTGTTTTGAAAGTTACCACAGAGAATATGTAAGATTCGCTGGGAAGAGATGAGGGCCAGGAAGGCTCATTGATCTTTGCCTCTTCTCTTGAGTCTCTGGCCCCTAGTAGGCACACAGTATATAATTGTTGATTGAATATAACATTGTTTGGGGCAGGCAATAAATATTAACAGAAGAATTATTTTTGTAGACAAAACTGTAATGTGAAAAATGTCAACTAAAAATCATTTATCCAGTACTGTTGGGATAACCAAAAAAGGAAAACTTTCTATTTAATAACCTCCCATGACTTTATTTGACACTATTAGTTAATAAACGATGTTTTAGCAGAATTTTTATATTTCCTTCTTATGAGTAATAGGTAAGAGAAAATTATAAAAAAGATGTAATAAAATATGAATTCATTTGAACTGCAGGAGAGGAAAACTTTTTATATTAATAATCTGTTTTTTACTTATAACTTGCTTAGTTTACAAGGATTCCTGTCTGTGTGTATCTGTGTGTGTACAGGTGTGTATATCATATGCATTCTTCTTAAAAGTTATTAATCATAAAAATTTTAAATATGTTCGACAATTAGGTTAAAAATTAACGTTACTGCTGAGAATACCTTGCTTCTGTGTTCAGTGATAATATTTTTGCTCTAAAGTGTGTGTCCTGCTTGGTCTATTTTCATGTTCCATGAACTTTCAGCTGCTCTACCTAATGTGATTTTTGTTTACCTGCCAACGAACAGTGGATAATAGGAGGTAGTATGTCAGATTTTTGTATCCAGGCTGGAAGGTGATGGGATGTGTATTCATAGTCTTTATCTTTGAATCATGTTGCTTTGGAAGGACTTCTCAGATGCTCCATCTGTCCGTTGTGTAGGATAGCAGAACCCACGTGGCTTCCTTTCCTTGATCTTTACTTCAACAAAACTCTATATCAAATGAAAATGTTTGTTTGATTTAAGTAAAAAATTTAGTTGCATATTGTTAATCAGTATTTGAGACTATAGAGTTATAATAAGTGTTTATTTCTTTGATGGGGGTATTATTTTATCTCAGCAACTTCAGTGAATTACCACATTTTTGCTTACTTATATACTTATTGTCACAGTAGCAAATATGCATAAAATTTTTGTATTTTTCAAAAAATATCAGGCAATTAAGATGTCTCAATAATTGGATTAGGAATAGACTAGCCTGTGTCTAGCCTAGCTACTTACTTACATGGCTTCTCCCTTTAAACAGTAGTTTTAATGGTTTATTGCAGGGATTAGCAAACTGTGGCCGACGTCCTTCCAGACACTGCCTGTTTTTGTAAATAAAGTTTTATTAGAACATAGCCCCTCTCATTTGTTTATGTACATATCTGTGGTTTCCACTACAACAGCAGAATTAAGTAGATGTATCAGAAGCCATCTGGCCCACAAAACCTGTTTTGCCTTTCACAGAGAAAAATTTGCTGATCCCTGGTTTATAAATAATATAGTTTGGTGCCTTTGGCTCCTGATTTAAAAAAAATTCTAGTGTGCTTTTGTTGTTTTGGGGAATACTTTACAGTCTACACATGGCAAGAATGTCACCGACATTTTTTAAGGTTTAATTGTAAAATATTCACCTGGAAATCCATAATAATTTTGCATCGAACAGAGGCCATATGTGAAAATTATACAAAATATTTATTTTTTTATCTTGTAACATTTAAAAGGTTTTCTCTTTTGGGGTGATTAAGATTATGAACTAGATTGAATTAATTAAGATATAGCATGTTTTACTCTATTAATGATGTTTCTTTAGTTGTCTCTGAAACAGAATTGTTACTAAAAGAGCTGGAGCAGATGCTACAGCAGGCTCTAGAGCCCACAGCAATACCTGATGAGTCTGAAGAGGAATGTGGAGAGGAAATAAATGCAAGAGAAAAGGTAGTATTGATAGTTACTATTGGTTATTATCAGACATATATAGCAACTTCAAATTCTTTAAATGGCAGAAATTGTTTCTGGTTATACATTTTAATTATATGGACAACTTTTTTCACTTCTGAAATTTGAGCTCTTGTCTATCATGAGCTGAATAATAAACTAGTAGCCTGTTGAGAAATCAGAATACATCTATCGGTCTTGGAAAAAATATCTGTGTTTTAGCAGAGGAGCTCCTTTAATTTTGGATCTTTGAGGTTAGAATGACGACAGATGGGGAGAGGATCACAGTGGTTGAGAAAGCACCACTGCAGAGAGGCCGCCCCGCTATCGCCAATCTTTACAGCCTGGAGAAGAAGCCAGGGTAAGACAGAGAGCTGGGAAATCTGCCCTGTTTCATGCACAGATATGAGCTCTCCCAAGACAAACCCCATTGTTGAAATACTGGGGGTAGAATTTTTTTATTGGAATGCGTTTCACCATTCGTATCTAGATTTATCTTTTTTTCCCCTTAGGACCAAATGTGTTGGGCTGAGAAAGGCCGTGTGTGCTTACCCTATTCAATACTTATATTTAACAACAAAAATTTAAATTGGTTGGCAAACTATGTAGCACATGAACTCCATGTTTCTGCAAATAAAATGAGAGTACAAGCCTAGGTCGTTAATACAGAGCAGCAGTGTGATAGGTGTGAGAAAAATAAGTCATTAGGCAGACACTTCCACAAGGCGGTACAGCTGTTCCCTGAGTAGTTAGGAAGAAAAATGGCAGGGAGGAGTCATGTATTCCTAAGGCCTCATTCATTCTGTCATTCATTCACGTAGATATATAGTGGGCCTGAAGTTAAGAGAGCACAGGGGTTGGGAGCACTGACTCTGCAATGTAATGCCTGTGTCCCAGTCCTGGTCCTGCCACTGAAGACTTGTGTAATTTGGCAAAATTGCTTATCATTTGCCTCAGAGAATTGTTTTGAAGATTAAATAAGGCAAACCAGGAAAAATTCTTTGCATAGTAACCAACATCTAAAGTTAGCTATTATTACAGATGAGAATTGGTGATGGCAATCACTAGAGAGAGTAAATGCTAAGAGTTCCTTGCTTTATCTCTTTTTTCGCATTCTCACTTTGAGCAACTTCCCAACCCGTAAGTCTTTCTGTTCTCAGATGCAGAAAAAGATGGATTTGTAAATGGATAAGGTTGTTTGCACACTTTGGCAGGCTACCCAATTCCATGATTTCATTTCAGAAGTTCAGCAAAAATAAAGATAATTCTTAAACATCTCTTTTGTTGAGTTAGAAATCAAGAAAATATATGCAGAATTTACAGTTAAGGAGATCAAAAGAAAATAAAATTAATGTTAAAAACTCTTACTGAGTTGAAAAACATGATAGTTTTCTTAATCAGCACCAGTGATACCAATTTGTACCTGAATTTCCATAGGTTGTAAATGCCATTTTTCCATTTAGAGTTTTTCTTTTTTTTTTTTAATTTGTTTTATATCCGTGTCTTATCTTTTGTATAACAAGATCTATAGATTGGTGACATAAGTCATATATAGATATAATTAACATACAAATTTTTCTTTCCTAGCAAATGTGTGTTTTGAGCACCATATGGTTTTTTTGTGCAGTGTTTTTTCAGTCTTTGCAGTTCATCTTTTCAAAAATACAGCCAGGTTGATTTTTATAGAGATGTCCTGGAGCTTTTACAGTCATAGAATTGGCTTCTATTTTGCCATTACAACTAGTAACTTGATAAAACAGAAAATTACTTCTGATTTTTATTTCTTAAGGTAAAATACGTAGTTTTATTATATCACCAGGCAAGAGCTTGCTTTTTGTTTTAAATTCTTGTAATATTATATGCTTTCAAAAGACATTTAGGAATTGTAAAAATTGACCATTTTAACTTGCTGGCAGGCAGGTGAGTGCTT